AAACTCACTTGTAACCAAATGTATGACTGCTAGCTCAGTCTGGACAAAGCACAGTGCAAGCGTCCAGCCCCAACACCCACACAGAAATGCAAGGATTGATGTGCCTGTTAAGTGCTGGAGCCTGCTTAACAGCAAACCTCAGTGAGACTGACAAAATGAAGCCACTTCAGGTAGCTCAAAGGCCAGGATCTAGGAAGGTAGCTTAATTGGACTCAAGAGGCCCTAGAAATTCTACACAAAGTCTGACATGTAGCCTAACCTGGCTTTAATCTGGCACTCACCTAGGGGATTAAAAGACTTGACAGGCCAGCGGTGTGGCACACACCTCTGATCCCAGGCTGCTCATTTTCTTCTAAATCACATTCGTGTTCATAGGGAGAGGATCATTACATCTCTATCCTTCCGCCACGTGGAAGTTTAAGTACAGCCGCCGTAGGCTGGTGTTTGAACCCTCTCACTGGAGAGCAGGGCTGTGAGGTCTGTGCTGAAATAGCTACACCAGTGAGTCTCCTGCTGGGACCCGCTGTTCTCCCTCACCATGCCTACCTGCACCCTGTGGATGTTTCCCACCGTGACTGACTGACCTCTGATGATGATGGCTCAGAACCATCTATAACCTTCTGGTGTACAGGTGTACATGCAGACAGAACATTGTACACATAACCCTTGTTTCTGGTTTTTTGTTGCTGTTTTTATTAATTTGTTATGTATACGGTCTTCTGCCTACATGTACACCTGCAGGCCAGAAGAAAGCACCAGACCTCGTTATAGATGGTTGTGAGCTACCATGTAGTTTCTGGGAATTGAACTCAGGACCTTGGAAGAGCAGCCAGTGCTCTTAACCTCTGAGCCATCTCTCCAGCCCACATAATAAATCTTTAAAAAAAAAAAAAAAGTTGCTGTGGTCATGCTGTCTCTTCACAGCAAGAAATTCCTGACGACACCACATACCCAGGCACAGTAGCTATGTGTCATCCTAGCACTCAGGAAGGCAGAGGCACGTAAGATTGCTGGCCAGCAGTCTACAACTCAAAATGACAGCCAAGACTACACAGAGAAAGCCTGTCTCAAAAAACAAGACACCTCATGAATCTCTTACTGGCCTAATGCTATTCTTTTGTAGAGCAGGTATTCGGCACTTGCCCTAAGCAGCAAAATGTTTTCATGTATCCATCCCAACACTATGAACAGCCCAAATATTCTTACTGGGACTATCACTTGCAACTCCAAAAACATGAATTGTAATGCCATGGCCAAGACTGTAGTAGGGGGGTTGGAAGATGGCTGAGAGTTTGAGAGCACTGTTCTTCTAAAGGACCGGAGTTCAGTTCCTAGCAACCACAAGGTGGCTCCAACTATCCATACTGAGACCACTCTCTTCTGGCATGCGCGTGTACATGCAGACAGGCCATTCTCAAAAGCGTAGTAGTGCTTGGGTTTGCTTTCATCTAGAATGCAGCACTTTCACTTCTGTATGGATCTACGTACCTTCAGTTCACTGAGGCAGCTTTTTCTTTTAAAGACAGGGCCTCATGGCTCACACAGGTAAACCACTGATCCTATTGCCTTCACTTCTCTAGAGCTGGGCTTAGAGGTGTGTGCCAACACACCCCATTTAGTGACCCAACAAGGCTTTGTGCACACTAGGCATACTAGTTCATTTCTGTCACCTTGACACATTATAGTCACTAGGGGAGGAAACCTCAACTGAGGAACTGCTATTACCAGCCTGGCCTGTGGGCATGTCTTAAGGCATTTATTTGGTTGCTGAGTTAGAAGGGCCCAGTCCACTGTGCACAGGTACCATCCCTAGTCAGCAGATGGTCCTGGACTACTTAAAGCTACCTTCTGTGGTTTCTGTTTCAGTCCCTGCTTTCCTACCCTGACTTTACATCAGTCATGGTTGTGACCATGAAGTAGAAGCCAGATTAAGTCCTTTCCTTCCCGAGTCACTTTTAGTCATAATAGTTAACACAGCAACTAAAAGCAGAGCAGAACACTAGGCAGATACCAAAAACTACATCTCCAGCCCTGAGGCAGCTCTTAAACCTACACACAGTGTGTGCATACATTTTTAAAGAAAGCAGGGGCAAAAGTTGGGAGAGGTGGCTCAGAGCACTAGCTGCAGGTCCAGAGGTTCCAGGTTCAGTCATCAGCATGCACATGGTAACTCACCACTGTAACTCCAGTCATAGGAAATTCTACATTGTCACGCAGATATACATATGAGCAAAACATCAATAAAGTTTTAACAAAGGAAAAGCATGATGTGGCTGAGCAGTGATGGTGTACATCTTTAATCCCAGCAGGAAGGCAGAGGCAGGGAAATTTCTATAAATTCTAAGTCAGGTCTACAGAGTGAGGTCCAGGATAAGCCTCCAAAAGAGTAAGAAAAAAAAGCAGGGGCTATGGTACATGGAACTCCTATCAAAAAAAAAAAAAAAAAGGGATGAAGCTGGGCAGTGGTGGCACATGCCCAGCGGCAAGCCTGGTCTACAGAGTGAGTTCTGTGACAGCCAGGGCTACCTAGGAAAACCCTGCCTCAAAAAACAAAACCCACTTCAACCCCTATAAAAAGCCAGGCACGGTAGTCCATGCTTATAAAACCAGCACTAGAAAACCAGATCCTCAGAGTGCTAGCCTCACAAGTTCCAGATCAGGGAGAGATCCTGTCTCAAAAAGTAAAACAGGAGAAAGGGCCCAGTGGCCAGGAGCTGCTCTTGCAGAAGACCCAGGTTCATTCAATTCCCAGCACACACATGGTGGCACATAGCAATCCATAACACAAGTTCCAGGAGATCCAACAGGCAGGTACATGGTACATATGCAGGAAAACATTTATACACACAAACCATTTCTTTTTCTTAAAGGTAAACATACACCTGTATGCACACCCACTCACACATGTGCACATACTTGCACTCACCTACACATAAGAGAAAAAAGAAAAGTTCCTCTTAAAAACCTAATGTTGCTTTAAAATAAATCACCAAGTTCTTAGAGTTAACGTTTAATAGACAATAAAAAAAAAAAAAAAAAAAAGAACAGGCTGATTTCTGTAACTGGTAAATCAAATGGTCTGCCTACAACAGACTTCAGGCCATTACCAATAGTGGAAGAAAGGCTAACCACCCCAACCTTATAAGGAAAGGCATATCTTGAATCAAACTACATTTGTGTTTAAGCACGAGTTTTTCTTCTGGCTTCTCAATGCTGCCTGGCAGAAAAATGGTTCAGTGCTCACTTCTGCTTAGAGAAATATTCTTTGCTCTTCTGGACATCAGGCTTGATGGTATCACCGCCAGGTTGCCAGCCAGCTGGACACACTGCAAGAGAAAGCATCATTAATTAGTAACCTGCTCAACGGTGTGTATCTTCCTCCCCACCTCCTCCATGAACACAGGACTGACTGGTTGATGGTGGCAGGGTATGCTGAAAAAAATGGAGGAAGATTATGAGTTCAAGACAAGCCTAAGCTATATACATTTTTGTGGCACATGCCTTTATGCCAGCATTCAGAAAGCAGAGGCAGGCAGAGCGCTGAAATGAAGTTCAAGGCAACCCTAGTCTACATACTCAAATACAACCAAGTGAAACCTGTCTTGGCCAAATCCCAGGCTAGTCTGTAAAGTGAGAGAGACTGTCTCAAAAAACAAAAGTAAAAAGAAACCTAAAGCAACTGGAGAGATAGGTCAGTGTGTGGACCCACAGCAGACAGGTGCTTCGATCTTAACACCTTCTTCTAGATGGTGCTGGTACCTCCTCATACCCACCCACACATACATAGTTCTAAAAAATAATGTATATAATCCTGGGGAGGCAAAAACATAAAAATTACAAATACAAATCTGATCCTGGGTCACTCAACTTTGCAATCTGTCACTCAGGCCTTTGATATAAGACTAGTAACATGGGGCTGGAGAGATGGCTCAAAGGTTAGGAGCACTGACTATTCTTCCAAAGGTGCTGGGTTAAATTCCTAGCAACCACACTAGCAACCACATGGTGGCTCACAGCCATCTATAAATGAGATCTGGTGCCCTCTTCTGGCCTGCAGGCACATATGCAGGCAGAATACTGTATAAATAATACATAAATCTTTAAAATATTTTTTCAAACACTAACAATAGTTAAATTCTAACACAGCCCTAACCTACTACATCTCACTTATTTGCACCCAAAATCTAAGCAATAAAACTACATGTCTAATTATGTCTAATGATCTGTCTAAAAAATGACAAGCCACTAAGATTTGTAGATGGGTAAGTATTTTTTATGTTCTATAAAATACTACTTAAATTTAAGGGGGGGGGGGGCAATGTTAGCAAAACATCTACAAGAGGTATGATTGCAGCAAGATCTAGTCTCAAACAAAAGAGACAACTTAAACAACACAAGATGGGTGCCAGGACAACTCAAAGTCTACATAAGGAATATGTTCAAACTCTACCTCACCTTACATACAAATACTATGTAGTTCTGGCTATACTGAAACTCTGTAGACCAGGCTAGACTCTGAATCAGAGATCCAGCACATCCAGTGGTTATTTAAAGAGATGAAAAAGTTCTACAAATAGTGGAGATATATAAACACACAAATACTTAAAATGCTGAATTATTTTATCAGAATAAAATTCCAAATATCAACATAAAGCACTTAATGACTTTCTGGCATTCTTTCATTCATTACACAAAACAAGTAACAGAAAACATGATGCGACAGTTGGTTATCCCAGCACCAGCACCCAGGAAGATGCAGAAGAAATTTTCAAGCTCACCCGTGGCTACAAAGGAGTTTGAGAGTAGCCTGAGCTACATCAGATCCTCCTTCCCCCCTCCCTAACTCAAAACCAAAAAACCAAAAACATTACCACCTCTGCTTTTCAGAATCCCAAAGGCAGCAACCTCCAAAACTCAGCCTACACCCCAGGGTTTGTTTTTTGGTTGTGTGCGTGTGTATATTAAGGCAAGAGTCACTTATGCAGCCCACGCCGGACTCCAACATGCAGCAAGCAAATTTCCTTCTGAGTGCTCTGACTACAGGTATAACTCCTCAGCATTAAATGCAAACTACAAATGAATAGTGCTGTAATAGTGCTGTTCCATTAGCCTTGACTCCTGTGGCAAGTAAAGGATACTTTCAAGCTTTCATGAACTAATGAAAAAAAAAATGTAAGAATGGCTGTATTTTCTGCACAACTGCTAGCTGGAAATAAAACGAAAGGAAATCTGATTTTTCCACTTCCATTTAAGAGACATGTATTTATCAAAGTCTAGTTATACAAGGCAGGTGCCTCTAAATCCCAGTACTCAGGAGTGAAGGGAAAAAAAAAAAGAGAAAAAGCTAGTAATACAGCAGGAAGACATCTCCTTTTCTAGTGTGACTATCGAAGAGAATCCTCTTTGGTCCACTGCTATGATGGTCTCAATAGTCAGTTTTGAGCAGTATCCATGGAAAAACTGAATGACAGGACTAGAGAGAGCACAACAGCAGCATCTGCTGCTCTTGCAGAGGACCAAGTTTCAATTTCCTGCATGGATATGGATGGCTTAACTATCCTTCACTTTGCCCAAGGAATCCTATACTTACTCCTTCTAACTTTTGAGGTTACCAGGCACACAAACATGTGCACGTAAAAACATGCAAGCAAACACTCATACACATAAAAAGATTAATTAAAAAGTTTTAAAGAAATGGGACACCCCGCATTCTCTAAATGCCAACTTAATTGAAACTTGCTTCCAGTATTTACGACAATTAAGTCATTTTCAGGCTTTTTTCTTTCTTTTTAAAAAACTTGTATGTATGAATGCTCTGATTCCATGTACACCTGCATAACAGTAGAGTGCATCAGACTTCAGTATAGACAAGTTCAAGTCCCTCCAAACACATGGTGGCTCACAACCATCTATAACAAGATCTGGTGCCCTCTTCTGGCATGCAGACACACATGCAGACAGAATACTCCGTAAATCTTAAAAAAAAAAAAACAACTCCCAAATAATGTGACAGGGCCCTCCGACCTCCACTGGTGTGTTGTGGCATGCACCCACATACACAAAATATTTAAATATGCAAAAAAAGGAGTCTGGTGGGATGGAGAGATGGCTCAGAGTTTAAGAGCACTGACTATTCTTTCAAAGGTCCTGAGTTCAATTCCCAGCAACCACATGGTGGCTCACAACCATCTATAATGAGATCTGGCCTGCAGGCAAAACAATGTGTAAATAAGTAAATCTTAAAAAAAAAAAAAAAAAAAAAAATTTTGGGGGGGGGCATAAATCTTTAATCCTAGCACTCAGAAGGCAGAGGTACCTGGATCTAAGTTCAAGGCTAGCCTGGTCTATACAGGAAGTTCCAGAACAGCCAGGGATACACAAAGAAAGCCTGTCTTAAAAATAAACAAAACAAAAAAACAAAAGAAATGAAACAAACCTAACCAAGAATGGTGGCTCATTCCTGTATTCCTAGCACTAGCACTTGGGATGCTGAGGGAGATCTGTACAAGTCTGAGATAGCCTGAGCTATGTTTTCAAAGGCTAGCAATAGTTACATAGAAGATAGTCTATTAAAAAAGGAGAAACATACCAAACCATGTTTAGATTTTACAAGGATTAAGCTTTTTTAAAGATATATTCATCCTCCTACCTACCTACCAGTTTATTTATTCATTCGTTTTTCAGTACACAGTTTTTCTGTATAGCCCTGGCTGTCCTAGAATTCTATCTGCACACTAGGCTGTCCTCAAATTCAGAGACAGGCCTGCCTCTGCTGAGATTAAAGGCATGCAGCACCACTGCCTGGCCTTAAGATTTTTCTATGTATGAATGTTTTCTCTATATGTATGTCTCTGTATCATGTGAATACAGTACCCGAGGAAACTAAAAGTGGATGGTTTTTTTTCCCACAAAATAATACTTTCACTGATTACATTTATTCTCCCACTTCCTAGGCCCACTCCCCAACCTGTGATTTTCCCCCAAAAAGGAAAACAAAAACAAAAAGTCCAAGTCCACTTTGTATTGCCTAGATACACACTCAAGCATGGTCAAATTCCCAGTGGCCAGTCCCTTAAAGAGAGTCCTGAGCTGAGTGAGATGGGGCATGCCTGTAATCCCAGCACTCAGAGAGCCAGAGGCAGGCAGATTTCTGTGAGTTCAAGGCCAGTGTGGTCTACAGAGTGAGTTCCAGGACAGGTAAGGCTACACAGAGAAACCCTGTCTAAAAAAAACAACACAAAACAAAGAGCCCTGCCAGGCAGTGGTGCTGTACCACCACAGGGGAGGGGAGGCAGAGGCACAGACAGATCTCTGAGTTCTAGGCCAGCCTGGTCTAAAGACCTCGTTTTAAGGGGCTGGAGAGATGGCTCAGAGGTTAAGAGCACTGGCTGCTCTTCCAGAGGCCCCGACTCCAATTTCTGGCAACCAATGGTAGCTCACATTTATAATGAGGATCGGGTGCCCTCTTCTGGCATACAGGCACAACACTGTATACAAAATAAATTTTTAATATGTATTTATTATGAATACAATGTCTGTCTGCGTGTACACCTGCATGCCAGAAGAGGGCACCAAGTATCATTCTAGATGGTTGTGAGCCACCATGTGGTTGCTGGGAACTAAACTCAGCACCTCTGAAAGAACAGCCAGTGCTGTGAACCTCTGAGCCATCTCTCCATCCAGCATCCCCCTCCCACAAAAAAAAAAAAAGCTAGTTGTAGGACTGCCAAGGATACACAAGAGAAACGCTTTTCAATGAAACAAAACAACACAAAGTCCTTCAGCACCCCTACCCTAGCCAGAAGCCATCACTTCAGGATCCCCAAAAAGTCCTCTTCAATGGCTGCGCTGCCCATACTGCTCCTTATTTTTGTAGGGGGAGAGAGGGGGGAATATGGGTGGAGAAGAAGAGACGTGGTCAATGGAAGTCAGGGACCAAAGTAACAGAAGTTGTGGCCTATCATATCGGTTGTGGAAATAGAATCCAGTTGTCTTAACCACTGAGCCATCTTGCCAACCCCAATTCTTTTTTAAGATTTTTTTTTAACTTTTTTCATTTTATTTGATACACGCGAGTACTCTGCCTACATGCATGTGCAGTACATGTATACAATACCCAAGAAAGCTAGAAGAGGGTGTTAGACTCCCTTGAGAGGAATCACAAGATAACTGTCAGCCAGTCTGTGTGTTTGAGTAATCAACCCCTAGTCCTGGGGGGAGAAATCACCCAGTGCTCTCAATCCCTGGGCCATTTCTCCAGCACTTATTTTTGTATCTCTGTGTATATGAGAATCCAGAGACAGTAAGAGGATGTCAGTTACATGCATTTATAAGCAACTTGTTATGAATACTAAGAACAGAATTCAAGTTTTCTGAAAAAGCTGCATGTGCTTCCTTCTAACTCCCAAGCTGTCTTTCCCTTCCTTCAGTATCTTTGGAAGGCAAGACCTCCCAAAAATGTACTCTTGGCTAACCTGGAAGTTGCTATTTATAAGACAATGGCTTTTCGAGGCAATAGTGTTCTGTGCCTTTAATCCCAGCACTCAGAAGGCAGAGACAGAAGGATCTCTGAATTCAAGGCCAACCTGGTCTACAAAGTTGAGGTCCAGAACACCCAGGGCTACTCAGAGACCTTATCTCCAAAAACCTAAAAACAAGCAAATAAAATAATAGTGGCCTCAAACGTAGAGATCCACCTGCTTCTGCCTCCAGAATGCTGGAATGAGGAGTGTAAAAGATGCGGTATGATGCCAGCTGGGTGGCAAGGGCTCCACAACCCATTAGAAGACACGAACTTAGCTTAGCTTGGCCTGGAATTTGCAGTACTGTCTGTTATCTTCTGAGGATATATGACTGAACCACTACAAGTAGCAAGAACAGACTTTTACATGGCACAATTACATTTGATCCTGTAACTACTATCTACATACCCACCTTGTTTTTAAGCATGTACCTAGCCCAGGATGAACCTGACCTCAGGCCTTCTCCTTCTCCTCCCCACAAAAGTACTAGGATTATACTAAGCCACATATCAGTGAAATAATGATGCGAACACATTTTATATGAAGAGGTTTAGTAGATAGAAATGGAGAGGAGAGGGTAGGACATGGTAGGGGAGAGAAAAAAAGAGCAGGAGAACGAGAGAGATAGACGGCAAGAGAAAAACGAAATGGTGGGTTGATCCTTTAAGGAGCAACCTAACCACACCTGCCAGGTGTGGCTACCTGGCGGTCAACACATGACATCACAGGTTGCTAGGCAACCCAGAAGCAGGCTGCCTAAATACTAACACCCAGCCCCAAAATGTTCTTTTTTAAAAATAATCTTTATTTTATGTTCATTTGGTATTTAGCCTGCACTTATGTCTGTGTGAGGATGTCAGATCTTGGAGTTCTGGACAGTTGTGCGCTGCCATGTGGGTGCTGGGAATTGAACCTGGGTCCTCTGGAAGAGAAGTCAAGTTTTCTTAACTGCTGAGCCACCTCTCCAAACCCCCAAAATAGATTCTTGACAGCATGCACAATAGACACAAACCTCAGGATAGAGGAGCCCACACGGAGCTACATCCCCAGAACCGTAGATAACGTTAAAGATTCTTATGCATGAGTTTTGCCTCCATGTATACATTCGCACTACATGCAAATCCTATGTCACTTATGGTTAGAAGAGCATTGCACTCCGGAGAAATGGATTTACAGATTGTTGTGAACCACCATGCATATTCTGGGGATCAAATCTCCAGGTACTCTGAAAGAGGAGCATGTTTATTTAACCATTAAAACACCTCTGTAATTCCTTACTTTTCTTTATACATTTTCTAAAAGAAAATTTTCCTCAAAAAAAAAATAAATAAATAAAAATAACTTTTTTTCTTTATTGCTAGTTTTCAGACAGGGTCTATTATGTAGCTCTAACTGTCCTGAAACTATGCAGACCAAACTGGCATCAAACTCCTAGCTTGCCTCTGCCTCTTGACTGCTGGAATTAAAGCAGTGCACAACCACACCCAGCTTGGCTGTCCTCAATGGTGAGATCCTGCTCAAACCTGTAGCACTCAGCAATTCCAAACTAGCAGAACATAGTGGAGAGCATAAATTTCAACAAAAAGCCTGTTTTCTTCTCCAGGCTTATCTACTACCCCACCCCAACAGATCAGTACTCCAGGCTTGTATAGACACAATTACCCTTTTATCTAATAGCCTTTGCATCCACAACAAGGCCAATGACTTACCTTCACCATGTTTGTCAGTGAACTGGAAAGCCTGGACTAGTCGCAGAATCTCATCCACAGATCGGCCAACAGGAAGATCATTTATAGTGATCTGGCGAAGGATGCCTTTATCATCAATAATAAAGAGGCCCCTGGGTAGAAGAGATTGAAGAATTGAGAAATAGATACATATTTTGTTGGTTAGAAATCCTAAGGAAATGGGTTGCCCCCCCCAGAGTTATACCAGCTTCTTACTGAGACCACTACATAAAACTTGGGTTTGATCCCCAGAACCAAACAAACCAGAAAGAATGGTACACAAAAAAAGTGGAGACAATTGATCAGGAGTTCAAGATTACCCTCAGCAATTTGACACCATTTCCAAAATAAAACAGGTTGAAGGTAAGGCATGGTGACACATGCATATAAATTCTAGCACTTGACAGTCTGACAGAACGATCACTAGTATGAAGCTAAACTGAACTAGATGGCCAAGTTCAAGGCCAACTTTGGCTACATTATATATAACAAGACTGTCCCAAAAATAAAAAAGCCAAGAAGCTGGGGATAGATGACTCAGTAAAGTACTGCTCTTGCAGGTATGAGCACCTAAATTTGAGCCCCAGAACCTATTTAAAAATAATAATAATAATAATTTACTGGCTGGGCACGGTGACACACACCTCCAATCCCAGCACTTGGGAAAGTAGAGGCAGGCTGATCGCTGTGAATTCAAAGCCAGCCTGGACAAAAGCCAAGTCCAAAGCGAGTCCAGGACAGCCAAGGCTACACAGAGAAATCCTGTCTCCAAAAGAGAGAGAGAGAGAAAGAGAGAGAGAAAAGAATGAAATTACAAAAAAAAATTAGAAGTTGGAGAGATGGCTCAGAAGTTAAAAGAGCACTGGCTGTTCTTCTAGAGGATCTGGGTTTGATTGTCAGCACTCAAATGGTGGCTCACAACCATTTTTAACTCCAATTCCAGGAGATCCGTTCAGGTGGTGCACATACATATATAAATACAAATATTCAAATGTATACAATAAAAAAATTTAAATTAAGCATGCAATCCCAACACTGAGGAGATAGAACGGTCAAATCCCTGGGGCTCACTTGCCAGCCAGCCCAGCCTACTTGGCAAGTCCCTAGTCAATGGGACACTATCTCTAATGAACAGTAGACAGAGTCTGAGGAACAACACTCCAGGGTTGTCTTCTGACATACCTGAAAGAGATACCTTCATCAGCTTTCAAGACTCCATAATCCTGAGCAATGGCACGCTTGGGATCTGATAGCAAGGGAATGTTCATGGGTCCTAATCCTCCTTGTTTCTTGGGTGTATTAATCCTACAGCAAAAGGCATTCATAGAATACATTCATTCAGACCTTGTGAAGCAAAAATAGTAACCAAACTTATCCTCACCTTTCTGATACCCTTTATCTACCTTTCCCCTGAAACTTCAAACTTTTTCGAAGAATGACGTGAACAGCCCACAATACTTATGAGTGGACAACAGTGTGTATCAGAGAGCAGCAACCCAAGCTGCTTTGCCTCTACTGATAGGAAGTAAGAGCAAGTCAGAGCCCGGAAACCAATACATAATTCTACCAAACCTCTAAATTTTCTCAATCTCAAGAAATCCACCCATACTGCAGGTATTGTGGTATACAGCTGTAATCCCACCTACTCATGAGGCTAAGGCTGGAGGTACTACAAACTGAAAGGCAGCTTGAGTTACATATTAACCCTAATTAAAAAACAAAATTCCACATGTCAAATGAACCAAAAACTTTACCATGCAAGATGACAGAAGTGAGAATCCACAGAAGCTCCAATTACTTGGCAATTGAGTTTTTTAAATTCTTCTGCTCTATCACTGAAAGCAATGATCTCCGTGGGGCAAACAAAAGTAAAATCAAGAGGGTAAAAGAACAACACAACATATTTTCCTAGAGAGAAAAAAAGCAATCACGATATTAGTTTTGAAACTAAGATTCTGATTTAGGGGTCCTGATACATGCCTATAATTGCAGCACTCTGGACAGGAAGACTGCTATGAAGAATCAGGCCAGCCAGGGTTAGAAACCCTGTCTTAATGAAAATTTTTTTCAGGGAATTCCTTTGCAAAGACAGTAATTCAATGTTAGAATTGCCTCCATAGTCTTTGGTTGCTAACTATAACACTATTCAGTCTAATTTTTAGAAACTCAAGGCCATAATCTCAGGACTTGGGAGGCCAGAAGGAGAATCAGGAGTTTGAGGTAATTCAACAGTTAAGAGCTCCCTGCTATAATTGAATTCCCACCATCCACATACATGTGTGATACATATATACATACATGTGTAATATATACAAAACAATCACATACATTGTTAAGATAACTAAATTTAAGTAAACAAAAAAGTAAACAAACAAAGACAAAGTCAAAGTCAGAGCTCTTACAAAATGATGGATGAATTAAGTTATCTCATGGGTAATTTTCTATCCTTCCCTTCTACCCTTCCCTCTTCTTATGGGTAGGAATTCTTGTTTCTGCTGTTAAGATGTGGTATTTAGGACTAGCTGTCTCCATCTATCTTGAATAGGACTCGTGGGATTATAGACTCCAACCAATGAACGCTGTTTTCTATTTTGTATGTAGGTTCCATGAACTAAAATAAATTTGAGCCTCGCTAGTTTCCAGCCTTCATGGGTAACACTTAAATATGTCATGAAACACAACAAATGTGTTCCTAGCAAGTCCAAGGCTTGACAAGAAAAATGTTACAACCGAAAGTACCCAAAATATTGGTAGGTAAAAGGACTTCTAGCTCTAATTTTACTTTATCCCCAAATGGGCCACACAGCCTCTCACTGTACCTAATGGCTAAACCCACTGGAACATTTCCAAATATCCACTATTTTCAGGGAGCAACTATATCCGAAAGTCAAAACAAGCAGTCCTTGACTCATCTAAGCAATCTCTGTGGCTTTGCTTAACAAGCACTTTGAAGCCCCAGCAGACCAAGCCCTACAGGGCAGAGAGCAAGCAATCCCTAGATCATGTGCCAGGGTCACTTCCCAAGAGGTGCTGTATAAACTGTTTGCCAGTAAGAGTTCTCCACAGGGCCCACAGTATCTGTTCTCATTCCAACAACAATGCGTGGTATCAGGAAATCTAACTGAATTATTTTACTCAAATACCAGAAACTCATATACCACTAAGAAAGGTACATTTAACACAACGAATTCAAGGCTTGCACCTAAGTAATCTATATTCTCAATGGTCCCAAAAGACCTAATACTGCAAGGCAAGAGAAGAATGGGAATGAAAGAATCAGACTAACTTTGTAACCTATGTTTCTTTTAATTGCCTTATAACTTATATTTGCAAGTTTTAGGCCCATGTTAATTAAAGCCTCTTAGTGCTTCTCCAGAGAACCAAGGAATGTAGAAGTTCCTGACATTAGCCATCTGTGAGGGCAGAGATAAGGAAGAGAACAAGCAGAGATCTCTACTAAATGGAGAAAAAAAATCACCAGCTGGTGCCGGTGAGATGGGCTTTGTTTGGAAACTGGGCCAAATGGCCCCAATCCTTCTCCTGACCTTTGATCCAAAGCCTATAACCCCCACTCCTCAGAACAGACATGGGATGAGTTAATCACCCTCCCACATTTAACTGTGGATGGCAGGAAATTCCAAACTGACTTGAAGATCAGATATTTACGACAGGGCTGACTGGACCTAAGGGTGACCAGAACTGACCAATTATTTTAAAAGCCAAACATTTCATCCAATCCTAAATTGCCAAGAAGTCAACCCCAGGAGATTCCCGCCTTGTGTCTTTTAAAAACCTAAGGTCTTTGTCTCCTGGTGCCACTCCTAGCTGACCAGCAGGGGTGACCCCATTGCAATGGTCAAGAAGAGTGAGTCTCTTGCGTTTTTGCATCGATGGATGATTAGTTTCCTGAGTTCTCTTCATACCTTCTTATATTTAGGCTCTTGCTGGGCCTAACAGGAATAGAGAAAGAGCTCAGCACTTACTGCTACTCTTGCAAAGAAAACTCTGGTTGGGAGCTAAGCATTGACAAGGCAGCTCACAACTATCTGTAACTACAGTTCCAGGAGTTCTAGCACCCATGCATACAATCGATGCACACATGCACACAAAGAGCATGCCCATGAGGGCACTCACATACGCACACAAGCAAAAACATTCATACACATAAAAATAAATACACCTTTAAAAAAATAAACAGGGGAAGAGACATGGCTCAGAAGTTAAGAGAACTGGCTGCTCTTCCAGCAGACCAGAGTTCAAGTCCTAACACCCACGTGACTGCTCACAATTGTCTGCAATTCCAGTTCCAGGGGGTAAACATCTGTATGCACAATTTTTTTTTTAATTTTAAAAATTATATACAGGCAAAGCACACCTTTAATCCCAGCCATTTGGGGAGTAAGACAGATCTCACTGGCTCAAGGCCAGCCTGGTCCACAAGCAAGTTCCAAGACTACACAGAGAAACCCTGCCTCAATAAGAGATAGATAGGAAAGGTGGTAGGTTTATACGTTCTGCCTTTGTTTGACAGGGTCTTATATGCAGCTTTGGCTGACCTGAAATCCAGAGATCCACCTCATGCACCACTCCACCCAGATAGGTGGCCAATTTTTGAAAAAGATGGAATATTAACAAACCTGCCAAGTATCTGTGTGAAATTATAGCAACATTAAAAAAAAACAAAACTGTAATATCAAGTCTTCCCTGTGAGCAGACACAAATCTTCAGCTCCAAAGATTCTATGAGTAAATGTAGAGTTTCCTTAAAAAAAAAAAAAAAAATGAAGGGGACTGGAAAGTTGGCTCAGCAGTTAATCACAATGGCTACTCTTTTTGAGGCTCCAGTACAGCTGCGAAGGCACAAACATCTGTAATTCCAGTCTCAGGGAATCCAATGCCCTTCTCTAGCCTTCTCAGGCACCACATGCACATACCGCATAGACGAAAACTCAGGAAAAACACCCACCCATACAGGGAGGAAGGGAGATGGTTAAGCATGACGACAAATGCCTTTAATGAAAGCAATGCCAGGCAGATCTCGAGTTTGATACCACCCTGGGCCTACATATCAAGGTCTGGAACAGCCAGTGGGATACACAGCACGATCACCTCAAACAAAAAAGCAAGTGAGAATGACAGTGCACATGCACATACACACAGAGTGAAAGAAAAAAAGGAAAGGAAGGCTGAACCAACAAACAAAACAGGGCAAGGTGGCACAGGTCTTTAATCCTAACACTCACTACCTCTAATCCTAGCACTACTGAGGCTACAGCATAGTGAGCTCCAGGACAGCCAGAACTACACTGAGAGCTTGTGTGTTTTTTTTTTGTTTGTTTGTTTGTTTGTTTTTTTAAAAGGGAACACTGGAGAAATGGCTTAGTATTGAATGCTTTTTCAGAAGATCTGGGTTCAATTCCCAGCACCCACACAGTAGCTGGCAACTGCCTTTAACATCTGAAACCCTCACAAAGTAAAAAAAAAAAAAAAAAAAAAAAATGGAAAAAGAAATAACCTACAACCAAAATAAACAGATGATGGGGGATGGAAATCAGTGGTAGTGGGCTGCTAGCATAGACTGAAGCCCTGAATTCAATCCCCAGTACCTGAAGATACAAGAATCCTCCAATAAAGTGCGTGCCACTAAAAAAGTAACCAGGGACCTGATAGACTAGGGTCAGATAAAAGGGGAGGAGGACTTCCCCTATCATTGGACTAGGAGAGGGGCATTGGAGAAGAAGAGGGATGAAGGGTGGGATTGGGAAGGCATGGGGGAGGGGGATACAGCTGGGATACAAAGTGAATAAACTGTACCTAAAAAAGAAAAAAGTACTCAGGTAAATGTTAAGATAAAATAAAGCACTCTTTCTCTAGAAATGGCTTATATCTACAATATCTATCCTTGTTATCACTGTACTAACCATGACTTCACATCAACATTAAGTGGCCTCTTGCCCAATATAATTCTTACCTTTGTATTCACTTAGGCTAACATCTTTGAATTGTCCATCTGGCATAACAGCTGTGGCTTTGAAGTTGGGGGCAGGATGCCCAATTTTTGCATTTCCTGAAGACATCTTTCTATCGGCTGGAAAAGGCAACAAAAAAAAAAAAAAAAATGGAAGCCTTGGTTTTCCAAATGACCAACAATTTTCACCTTCCTAGGAAATTATCTGTTGTTCAGTCAAGGAATGGTCCAGTGGCCTTGAATACACTGCAAGCACAGGCTAGCAATCATGAGTCACAACCCAAAAGCTCCAACTTCTGGGTAAAAACAGGACTGAATATAATGAGCCTTTGTTTTCACATACAAACAGCTCCACAGTGTCTAAATAGATTGGGGCTCTACCACCCTTTCTAAACCAGTTTTTGCAATGGCAATATTTTATCTTGTGTATTAGGCAGAAGCAGGAAAGAAAAAAGACACAAGAATCCAAGCAAATCTTTCAAAACTTTAGGTGTCCTGTTTAAGTTTTTTCTGCATAACTTTGAGGTCTTGTCTTGCATTTATTTTTTTAGGTTTCTACCAAGGACAGAGGGCATAATAAATACCAGCACTCTGGATGCTGAGGCAGGAGGATACTGAGCTCAGGCAAGACAGAGAATTGTCTCAAAGTTTCTGTAGCAGGGACGTTACGTAGGTTCAGGCTAAGGCGCTTGCTAATGAACTTATGCTACTCCTGAACCTGCATAAAGACAGAGAACTCACTACTACAGGCTGCCTTAACAACAGGGCCCACAAACATACAAAATTTCCTGCCTCTGGACCAAGAACCTGGGCAGAGGTTTAACAAGGGTCACTTCACCGGCAGGGTTTGGAGTAACAAATGTAACCCCAACACTTGGAGAGTAAATGCTTAAGGTCAGGAGTTCTAGCCAAATTGGAGAACAACCCTGGTTACATGAGACCCTCTCTTAGAAAAAAACACAAGTCAATGCATTGTTAGAAACTGATTTCTGCACCATTTACCCAGGTCAACAACAAGAAAAAATTGTTAGGAGTCACAACATTAGGAGCTCAACAGTTAAGAGCCTGCACTGCTCTTGGCAGAAAACCCTGGTTGTGGACTGGAGAGGTGGTTCAGAGGTTAAGAACACTGGCTGTTCTTTCAAAGGTCCCGAGTTCAATTCCCAGCAACCACATGGTGGCTCATAACCATCTAAAGTGAGATATGGTCCCTCTTCTGGTGTGCAGGCAGAACGTTGTATAAATAATACATAAATTAGAAAAGAAATAAAGAAAACCCTAGTTGTTTCCAGCACCCACTTCGGGTGGCTTACACGCAGGTAACCACACACCCACCCCCACACACACACATAATGAAAAAACACAATCTAAGAGATTTACACCCCTCGATCTGAATGCTCCAAGTTCCAAATTTCTTGGCTCATAAAGCCAGTAACCGAAAGAAATGCTAGAAGCGTCGATCACCGTAAACTTCTAAAACCAATTCTTCTTAATCCATCAACCTCAAGTTTTTCTCAAGGGCGTGCCGCAACGCAGCAAGTCCCTCTCCGGTGTGCCCCCTAACGTAAACCACCTTTTTCTTATCAAACTTGCTTTGCAAGATGGCCCGGCACATCGAACCAAACCCACAAAACTGACTTCCGGCTGCTGCGAAGCCTCTTCAGGAGAATCAGACCCGGGCGCCAGAGGAGGTCACGCCCCAACTCCGCTGGAAGTTCCTGCCACTCGGGCCATCACCCACCCACACACGCAGTCGAGCTCAGTCGGAGAGAGCCCCGTCTGCCCACGCCTCCCTCGCCCGCCTACGCCCTCTATCGGACAGCCCGAGAGGAGGAAACTCGACGTTAGTCCCGGGTTCCCACAGGTTCGGGAACTGAGGGCCTCGTGAGACAAACGAGCAGCGCTCCGGCTCTCCCGGGAGCGGGCCGCGGCCGGTCGCTGCGGCTCGTGAGCGTCCCTGCGGGGCCGGGGCCGGAGCCCGCCAGGGGCAGAAAGGACCGCGGAGTAAGGCGCTCACCAGAGTCGAGCAACAGGTCCCTGACGCACGACCGTGCCACCGCAGGAAGATGACGCCCGAGCGCGCGCGGGGCGCTGCCTTTATAAGCCACAAAGTTATCGCGAGACTCGGAGCGGGCCGGGGGTGAGGGAGGAGGGCGACCTAGCCGACCCCGCCCCGCCCGGCGGTCCTGCGTGGGATGACTCAGCGCTTTCCCGGGGTGGGCCTGGAGTTGGGGTGGCGCGGGGGTCTCGGAAAGCGCTTCTGCGTCCGCGGCGGCTGTTCGCAGCTGTGGAAAAGCGCTGCCCCTTCTAGTCAGGTATTCCCGGGAATCCTTGCCTCTCGATTGCCGGGACCCCGCGTGCTGTCCGTTCAGGACTCAGACTAGAGGAAGGGTCTTCCTGACTGTTCGTGGAAAAACCACGTCTGAAGTTGCCCTGCGATCGGAGAACTATGCACCCAAATATTTCTCCGTTTTTTTCTTCTCAGCCCAGCCTCGAAAAACCTGTTCTAGGGCTGGAGAACAGCCGTTACGAACAGTGGCTGCTCTACCAGAGGACCTGGCCTCAATTCCCGGCATCCCTTAAGGTCTGTAAGTCCAGTGGATCCAATGCCCTTATAAAGACATACACGCAGGCAGAACACCAGTGCACATAAAAAGAAATCATTCAAAACAAAAAACAATCTGTTCTAGTCTGATCCTCAAGAACCCTCACCACCCAGGGTAGCCTCCTCCATTGTTCTCTGATTATTGGATGTTTTTCTATCCCTCACCCATTTCTTCCACTGCTCTTAAATCTAAGTCTGATCTTGTCACTGATCTGATTTGTGGTTTCTGTGGTTAATTTCCTGAGTTAAAAGTCTCTGTTCCAAGCTGGGCAGTAGAGAAAGAGACAGGTGGATCTCTTGAGTTTGAGGCCAGCCTGGTTTACAGAGTGAGTTCCAGGACAGAAGGGTACAGAGAAACCCTGTCTCAAAAAAAAGAAAGAAGTTGGGTGTGGTGGCGCACTCCTGTAATCCCAGCACTTGGCAGGCAGAGGCAGATGGATCACTGAGTTCAAGGCCAGCCTGGTCTACAAAGTCCAGGACAGCAAGGACTTCATAAAGAAACCCTGCCTCTAAAAAAAAAAAAAAAAAAAAAAGAGCTAGCAAGAAACCAGGCTTGATGGCGCATGCCTGTAATGCCAGCACTGGGGAGGAAGAGATAGGATGTGTTTTTGAGGCCAATCTGGTCTACACAGCAAGTCCCAGGATCAGAAGGGCAACTTAGAGAGACCTTATCTCAAGGAGAAAGTTAGATAGGGACCTGATACTATTGATTAAAAGCTCAGAGTTCCCATTTTATACCACATGCTTTGTGTGATTTAGAGACAGAGATGGATGTAATCCAAATCCTACCCTCAACAAAGTCATGCTACAATGGCAAGGCAGACATGTAAATAAAACAACTAAAAGATTTTTTTTTCTTAGCTGTACCGGTTATTGTTTAGGCATAATGGTCAATTCAAGGAACATATGAAAGTCAGTAACATTGTTAGAGGAATATAAACCAAGGTCAGAAACCCGCTTTGCAGGAAGTAATACTTTTCTGAGTCTTCACGCCTATCCTCTCAGGGAAATCTAAGGGGTATTGGTTTTCCGGTTTGAACAGATAGACTTGCAGCAGTGCTGTGTTTTAATTGAGGAAGATGAAGAAAGGTACAGTAGAAATAATAGTTAACATCTTTATTGCATTGTAAAAACTAAGCATCACGAGCCAGGTTTGCTGATGCCTGCCAATAATCCCAGCACTTGGAGGGCTGAGGCAGCCTGGACTACAAAAGAGAAAGTCTCAAAAGCAAAAAACAAAACAAAACAAAAACTACCAGCAAACTTAGGTATAGTGCTAATGAACATTAATTATTCACATTAAAATACTAGAATTAGGGGCTGGAGAGATGGCTCAGAGGTTAAGAGCACTGGCTGCTTTTCCAGAGGTTCTGAGTTCAATTCCCAGCAACCACACGGTGGCTCCCAACCATGTATCCATCTATATTGTGATGTGGTGCCCTCTTCTGGCCTGCAGTTGTACATGCAGTCAGAACACTGTATACATAATAAACAAATACTAGAATTAGAAGCTGGGCACCATGGCACACGCTTATAATCCCAGCACTCTGGGAAGCTGAGGGAGGCAGATCTTTGTGAGTTTGAGACCAGCCTGGTCTACAAAGTGAGTACAGGACAACCAAGGCTACACAGAGAAAAACTGTCTCAAAAAAAAAAACAATCCTAGAATTAGCTAGATGTGGTGATACATCCATTAATACCAGCACTTAGGAGGCAGAAGCAGGTCAGTTTCTGAGTTTGAGCCCAGCCTGGTCTATACAATGAGTTCTAGGACAGCCAGGGCTACACAGAGAATCTCAGCCTTGAACTGAAACCCCCCTCCCCCCAAAAAAGATAATAGATTTATTCCATTTTATAGGCAAGAAAAGACAAGGCTTAATAGGATTACATTTTATATAAGGTCACATATAAGGAAAAGCGCCTTTTTTCTCTCTCTCTGAAACGGTCTCACTACGTAGTGCTGGCTGTCTTGCAACTGACTCTGTAGATCGGGCTGGCCTTGAACTCAGAGATCCACCCGCCTTTGCCTCCAGAATGTTGGATTAAAAGCATGTCACACTACCACTGGCTGGAACACTGACTATTTTTTTGGTTTTGGTTTTCCTAGGCTTCTCGTGACTCTTCTTAGTGACATAGTAGGATAAAATAGGGGAAATGCTATGTCATGCTAACTGGGTATCTGAAATTTTGGGTATTTATCATCCTTTACAACAGTAGTGACTTCTTTTTCCTTTTCAGCATGAGAGTGACCAGTTATTTCTCATTATTCATTTCCAGTTAGTCAGTGGAGGCGTTAACCCCCACTACTCCCCATAGCTGGGAAGTGCTATGTCATACTGCCTGAGCATCTACCTTTATAAATATTTTTTGACATTTATCAATTCTTTTAACAGTACTTTTTGTGTTCAGTTGCTTTTTGGGGTGTGTGTGTGTGTGTGTGTGTGTGTGGTATATGTATGCTTATGTGTGGTATGTGCTCAAGTGTGTATATGTATGTGGTATGTGAGTGTATGCTCATGCATGATATATGTCCAACTGTGTGTGTATAGGAGTGTGGTATATGTGTCTATGTTCATGTGTAGTATATGCTCAAGTGTGTGGTGTGTGAGTGTGAGTGTGATATATGCTCAAGTGTATGTGTGTTCGTAGGTGCTTGTACATGTACACTTGAGCAGAGACCAGAGGAAGATGTTGGTTATGTCTCTCTGAAGAAGCAGGGAAGGTGAAGCCAAGCTGGTGGAGATGCTCTTCCTCTCAGCCCACACAGCGATGGGGTCTAATAGACAGATCTATGCATCTTCAGCAGGCTCCCCCTGCCCCAGTGGTGCTGGAATCTGAACTCAAGTCTTCATGTTCATACAGCAAGCACTCCTTACCATTGAACCATCTCTCTGGATCCTTGTTACTTTGTTTTTTCCTTCTCACCCTGAGGATGAAGAATTGTCATTATTCATTTCTTTCTTATGAGAGCAAGGTGGGCCAGAGCACAGGTTTCGGGCGTAGCTGCTCTTTGCTATTTTGCAGGTTCTTCTTTTTCCTACCCTAAATCCCCCAGTTTCACCCCCTATCACTGGAGAGGAGAGAAAGAAGAATAGAGGGGAGAGATCCCCAAATCTGATTTCTTTCCTTGTTTCTTTTTTGAGCATTTCCACTAACCACAGATAACCCCCTGAATGACTAACAACCACCAGCCCCACCTCTTCGGGCCCTAACATTTATGTATCCTATGAAAAATTGCCTGAATTTCAAAAGTCACACAATCACAGAAACTATCTGCATCTGACAAAACTACACCTCTGCTAGAGCACAAGGCAAACCACAGTCAGCTGGTTTGGACAGTTTGAAGCAGCTCCATATCCCCACACCTGGAATTGAAATGAAAAGATATTGTTACAGTATCTCAGTGTTTTTCTAAAGAAACAAATTCCAGAATTCTCACTACATTCAGGCATCAATTTTATTCTCCCACCTTTTGGTTCCTGGGGATGGGACTCGGGTCAGGCTTGGCCTCAGGTTCCTTTACTTGCTGAACCATTTTGCCTAGCCTTTGCCTCTTGAAACTGAAGCACACTATATAGCCTAGACTGGCATGACCTCAGGGTAGTTTTCCTGGTTCAGCCTACCGAGATTACTGGTGTGAGTTATTGGCATCCTTTTTAAAAAACTCCTTTATTTACATTTCTTGTCTCTTTCTCTCTACTCCACCCCAGTCCCTTCCAACATCGTAACACCAGGTTGGAGAGAGAAGGGGTTAGTGGGAGAGGAGGCGTAATTCTCTATCTTAGCTGCTTCCTGCTGGTTAGTGTCCTGGGATTCCTTGGAGCCAGCCCAATCCTCATTTCAGGAGATCTCCAACTTCTTGTCTCACTGCATCAGTCACAACCAGGAGCCATGGGGGAAGCAGCAGCAGCCTTGTTCTTTCTCGGAGCTCCTCATCACTCTCTGGGCTCTGGCATTTATTCTCTCTCCAGGGTCCTCAGATTTCAACTATCTGCAAAGAGCTCCTCTCAGAGCCTGAACGAGGCGAATAGTATGCTGCTGCTGTGGACTGTCTGAATCAGACCGACATCCCACACCTGGGATTAAACAAAAACGTGTTTATATTCACAACAAGTTAGGACAGATTTCAGACGTTTTCTAATTTTATATTTTGATACTGTCAGTTGAACCTTCCATGAGCTTGGCAGAAACCATAGAACAAGCAGCACCCGTAGCCCGTGCTCCAGTGCCAGCAGATTTGACAGCCTTTGGCCTCCAAAGAGTATGAGGTGCAATACATGAGTAGGTGTGTGTCTTACATACGTGGTGCATGAAGATGGTCCTGACTGCTAGAGTAGGTAGGGCTCCTATCTTGCCTACATCCTTGGATGGGTGACTTAGTTTTACCATGGTAGGTTTTTTTGTTGTTGGTTTGGTTTGGTTTGGTTTGGTTTTTGTCTCTATAAAGAAGCATGCAATCTTTGAACATAGTGTTCTTTGTCAGTAGTTGCCTTGGGCCTAATTTGTC